ATAGAGACGCAGCAGCAGCATCAACAGAAAAAAATTGAGGAATTTAAAACGTGGATGCTTAGCCTGTATATTCTTTAGGCTATTAAGCCCACTGATTCATTTATTTTTAAGCCTATTTTTGTGTGGAATGCCATTGCCAAACCTGTCCGTTCTTGCCTATATGTTGTTGAAACATAAATATTTTCTGTTCTGAGTGGCAATGTTGCCGTTGCTCATATTTCTAGCGTGGAGCGATTTGACTGCAGCAGGAGGAAATTTTAGTGGAGTGAGGAGCGGTGTTGAGCGGAGCGGCTTACTGCGAATTAGAGCGGAGAAGCGGGCGGAGCCAACAGCCTCGTAAGCGAGGAGCGGAAATTCTCACCGCTCCACTCCGCTCACATGCTCTACTTGATATGAATGTTATATGAATATATAATGAATGCAGTATGAAGGTGCAGTTGATGGAAAGCAAAACTGAATAATCTTGGGCCAGTCATCAGTATTTGGTGAGAAACACTTCTATTCTATTCTGTTATTAAGTTGTCATCTTGATCCAAAAACATCATTTGGGGGTTTGATCAGAAACTGTTTAAAACTTTAAAATTGCATCCTGCTCCTCACCCGCCTTGGAGCCCAGTGCACAGACCACAGGCCTCCTGTAGAGGACACAGGGGTGATATATTCCATGTTCTTTAACTGAATTGTCCTTTGATCAATGCCTTGTAGAAAGAGTGATGGGTGTCCATACTCCCAAAGCTATCCTAAGGCATGTTTTGACCAGCTGGTTGGCAAGATTGGGTCCTTCCAGCCCCTCCCCCCAGGTGAAGCAGGAGCCAGAGACCCATGCTGACACTGTCAGGGACCATGATCTCTTCTTCCATCGACACGGGTCACATCTCAAGCAAACACTCCATTCATTACTTCTAACGATCAGCAAGGAGATGCTAGGTACTTATTCTAACCTGCCTTTCCACAGGAATCCTTAGAGGAGTCTTAAATCTGACTGTACTGATAATCTTACAAGGCCAGGCCTCACTCACCACCCGTGGGTCATGTGATTTTGTCAATGCTGGGATAAGTGCTGTGGTCAGGATGTAGGTGCCTGAAAACAGTCCTCCTTGGATTGCCACCTTATCATGGTGGAGGGGTTTGCGTGCCTCCGTGAACCTGGGGGCTAGGTTGTCGGGGGCAATAGCCCCTGGTAGGGTCTCCCAAGGCAAAAAGGTCCCAGGG